AAACATCATCATTAACTTCTATTTGGTCACTCTCAACAGTTGGCTCACCAACAGGGTTAGAGTTATTTTCATTAGGGGTTATTTGGTTTTTGAGCAGCCTCATCTATTGGTGCCTCACCAGTCAAGCACTCGCCAGTTCCAACCTCATCAAAAGCAGCATTTGATTCCTCACCAACCACCCCAACATCATTAAAAAAAATACTCCACTACGAGACACTACACTATATTCTAAGATAGCGGGGACCACAATAGGCTCATCACACATGTGAGATACAAATATATCAAAAGTATTTCCATTTTCAAGGGCATCTGCAATTACACAAATAGCCCTATTAGTTTTAACTTCAACCAAATTGCCATAGAAGGGTGACCTTACATAAAATAAGCAAGCAGTAGTATAACCAAGTTTTTTAATATGGTCTCTCAATTCAAAATATGATATTCTATCCGTGTCGATATAAAAAATACTCTATTAAACAGCCACCCTCATAACTTGAATTAGGACCAAACAAAATTGTGCCCCCATAAAACAACCTCGGCGTTACAAGAGTAAAATCCATTTAACAACACTCTTTAGAAAATAATTTAGTTACTTACCCCAAATTATATATAAACCCTTATTCTTAAAAAAAAAACCTAACCTAACTACCAACATGCAAAATCATACGAAGCCGAAACAAAATCAAATAATAAACAACTAACAACATACTAACACACACAATATGATCAGAAATAGTGCAAAAGATCTTACCCGTCACAGTCGAAATGACTCTCGATTGAGTTCAAAAAGTCTTCGTCAAAGAAGTTCAAGCTTCAGGTTTTTTCTTCAAGCTTTGATTATCTCCCCCGAAGCTTCGATTTTAAGTTCAAATCTCACTTCGCATTGAGAATTTATAGAAGAATCAAGCTAAATTGGGAGGGATCGAAGAAGAGAGTTAGAGAAGAGAGTTGGAATGGATTTAGTGCTTGGGTCTGATAATGACTCTTACTTTCGAGTTGGGTTCACTAAAACTTTTAACCCACTTTGGATTAAAAAATAAAAAGAAAAATAAATAAATATAAGGGTGCATAACACGCGCCTGATTATAAATAATGTTGTGTGTCAGCTGGGCCGCGAAGGTGTATTTTAATTAACTAAAAATATATACAGGGGGGATCATAGGACACCCGTATTTTTAAGGGGTGCAACTGGAACTTTGGTACTAACCCAATGGGGTAATTATGTATTATCCCCAGATAAAAATTAGAAATTACATCATGATAAATATATTGTAAATGTAGTTAAATGGAAAGAAATTAACATAACCTCAACATTTGTTGAAGAATCTTATAGACTAATAAACTCCAATTTCATTAGTTCTAATATCATTTAGACAAAAATGTATCTCCTAGATTTTTTATGGTTTTAATTAGATATTAGTAATCATACCTTCTCATAGCTTATTGAAATATATTTCGACTACTTCTACATTCAAAGTTAGTTGCATGCTCTTTTGATTTTTCGTCTATTTGCTTTTGCACTAATCTCTAGTGCAATCTATGCCTGAAATATCAGTATAATGAATCACATGATCAAACAAAAAAGAATTTAAACAAAGACGTGAAACACAAGACTGGAGGCACTGGGGGCATTATAAGAAATAGTCAAGAGGACATGATTGTAGGCTTTGCTAATAAAATCAAAGCCTATAACTCTACCCATGCAGAATTACTAGCACTTCATACAAGGCTTAAGCTGGCTAATGACAAAGGGCTAGCCTCACTGGAGATTGATACTGATTCGACGGCCATAATTTAACTACTTGAACATAATAGCTTTCCTGCCTATACTAACACTATCTTTGAATGCATGTACTTGTTGAAGAAATTGGGGAATCCAGTGGTCCGGCATAGCTTCCGCCAAGGCAACAAGGTGGCACACGTTTTGAGTAAATTGGGTTCCAAACAACAACAACCAACCTATACCACAACTATTCTGAACTCCCCACCAGACCCAGTCAAGAGGATGATCCAAGAAGACAAGAATGCAATATCTACTACTAGACTAGTATCAAGCTCCATATGTAACAAACTAGCAACGTTTGAAAACCTACGTATTATTCCTACTATTACTAATAGTGATGTAATGCCACCGTAACCTTTATTAATGAAATTATCCTTTTCTCAAAAAAAAAAAAAAAAAAAAAAAAATGTCGGCTACATTCATATGCACTTGTTGCTAAAGGCTATCAAATACAATAGCAGGTGGTGTTTTTTGGGTTTGGTGTGCGGCTTCTTTCCTAGCCTTTTGCCCCCAAGGCAAGAGAACTTTTCATGGCCTGGGGAATATATCGATTTTAAGGCCTGGGTTGTCATTATCTATTAGTGCGAAATGAATTCATTGATCTATTCATTGCAATTTGGAACGTTTATGGCTATGCTTTATGGTGAAATAAATAAATTACTCTATTCGTTGTAACTTGAGCAACTGATGACACCTTTTCTTCTCCAGCTAATTATTATCGTATACATTTAGTTGGAAATACTGGTTAATTAGTTCAGTGCACTAAAGGTACCCCACTCCAAATAGTACAAGATGCATTGTATATTCTAGTTAACTGTTTTACATCTCTATACATTAATTTGGAATGGATAGTGTAGTTTTAAAAGGTAAAATGGTATATCAGCTTTCGAAGGGCATTTGGGTAATTTGGTCATTCAGCTTTTGAAGGATATTTTAGTCTTTTAACTTTGATTCAGGGTCTTCACACTTATAATATCGTATGATATAATATGATGATGATGATAATATAATAATTTACTGAAATTTAAGGCTCTTAAGCCTTTGAAGTTTTTATCCAAATATTAGTCTTGGTGTCTTATTTGCACTTAATAGTTGAGAAAAATTAAAATACTTATTTAAGATTTTAAGTTTCTTATACTTTACTCCTTAAAGTTTGAAGTTTAATTTATTTTATTTATAAGTTATAGAAAACTCGGCCCTTCCCGGGCCGATTTAGCCCCAAAGACCGGGTCCGATTGATCCGATAAGATCTGCCCGGTACTGAGACCGGCCTGATTGTTTTTTTTTTCCAGGACTGATCTGAATATTGATACCTTTATGAGAGATCTTAATTAAGCTTTTTATGTTTATTTGAATTAAAATGTAAAACTAAAGTCATGAAGTAGAGAGAGTTTGGTCAAGTAATATAATAAGAAGTGGAATTACTTTTTTTCCATTTTCTGGATTAGGCAAACGTTATATAGAGAGTAAAACGGTATCGTGTCTACTTAAACTTGCGTTAGTTTGTCATCTCGGTATATAAACTTATAATTTTTCTATTTTAACACATCTACTTGACATTTGACCGTTTGACTATGCTTACGTGGCTGAAGCATATCTGATGTGGACAAAATGCGTGCAAGTTACGCTTACATATTAATCATAACGTATTTGGAAAGAATAATTAAACAATTTATTCTCCAAATCTTTTCTTTAAATACATACGAAACTCCGCCAACTTTCACCATTTTATGTCACTTGGCAGCGTTGTAAACATGCTGAAAAGTTAAGGTAGCTTTTGGACCTCTCTCTCAGTGGACTCTGCTACAGGTAATTCTCTGCACTTAGTTATGATATCCCTGATTTCATTATAGAGTTTTGCTCTCGTCATGTTCAATTTCTTCTTTAATTTTTCACTTTCCCCATTTTATTAAAAAAAATTTAATCTTGAGGGCTAGTGCCAGAAAGTTCAAAATTCAGTGGATAATAGATCCGCCGTCTATCCTTCTCCCTTAAATAGGGATGGCACGTGGACAATGCGGGTTTAGACATACGAGGGGTGATGCGACTTTTAACACATCCTGTGCGGGTCGAAATTAAAAAAAAATTAACTTTATGTGGTTGCGGGACCGGTGTAGGTTAGGATTTAAAATTTGTACAAAAATTAGAGCTTTAAGCTATTGCTAAGGGCATCTCCAACTTTTACCCCATTTTTGGTCCCAAAATGAGTATTTCCAAAAACTTACTCCAATCATTCCCCCATTTTTTTTCCCAAACTTTTTTATATTCTTCCCTCTCTTCTATATTATATTATTATCTTTCATTTCAATTTTACTTTTTAATTTCCATTAAAAAAATTCCATCTTTTATTTTTATTAATTTGTAATTTCCATTAAAACAATTTCATAAAATTTTAGATAATATAATTTGTAAGCAATTATTATAGATTAACTAATAATTCAAATAAAAGTGAAATCATTGCGATACAAGATTAATTAAATACATATTACATAACGATAAAATTCATTCGAAAGAAATTTTAATGATGGATGTGGATTCTATTGTCGATCCGACTCGTCGTGAATTTATGCGACAAGAACAACAACGAATAATGTATAAAAGAAGTCAAGAATATCCACAGTCACAACCACAACAATCCTCAGCCCCATTCAGTCAATACTATAATGATTTTGGTGTATCTGGAAACGACATAAGTCCCTACTAAGTTATTATGTTATTTACCGTAGTTTCAATTTTTATGTATTTTAATTTAATGTATTTTCAATTGTCATGTATTTCCAATTTTAATGTATTTTCTTTAATGTATTTTCAATCTTCACTTTTCAATTTTAGCAACATCTAATATTTTATATTCGCACCTTTCAATTTTAACAACATCTAATATTTTATATTTGCACCATTCATTTTTTGAGATAATTATATATTTTTTGTATAATTATAACTTATAATAAAATTAACTTACAATTTTACATAAAAATAATAAATGCACGAAAATTAATTTATCAAAATTATACACCAAAGTTAAGATGTAAAATTAATATTATAAAGACATTACATAAACATAATTAGGTATATATAAAGAGATAAATTAAAAGATTAAATAATAAAATAATAATAATAAAGTGATGAATAGTAATGGAGGAGGATGAATAGTGTATCCATATTTGAGGGAACACTATTCATCCCCATCTTGGGACAAAAATAGGGGAGGGTTGGAACTAAATTACCCCAAAAATTGCCCCCATTATGGGGAATGGGGGTAAGGTTGGAGATGGCTCTTTATCTCTATGATTTTTCTGAAAAGTTGCAATAAGCTTTTAGTAAACAACTTTTAGCTTAAAATTTCTGATTGTTCTCTTAATGATCTGGAAAGATTGGCTTTTTTGCCTGACTGCACTGTTTCTTCGTCTCCTTTGCATATCTATTTGTCCAGTAAAGCAAGTTCATGTCTCTTGTCACAGTCTAGTAATCTAAGATGAGGATAATATGAAATTATCTTCTTTTTGTTTTTTGGTTTCTTTGTCCTAAACTTTGAGATGTGAATGCTAATTACGTGAATAACAATCAATATTCCACCAGAGATAGATAGAACATATACTAAACTCGGTTAGCTACTATTCTTGGGATAAAAAAAAATGCTGCATAAGATGAACTCAGAACACGAGAGAGTATTCCTTTTAAGAATTTTGACCTTGCATGACATCTCCCTTTCAGATGCTCCAGCTTTTATTCCTAATATGTTATATAACTCTTGGTCTTCTAAGTTTCATTTATCTGCTAAAACCACATGATTAGATAGAGTATATTAAATTCCTGTATGCACCACTGCTATCTCCAATCTACGTTCTTTCCTGTACTCTTTCATGTATCATGATTTTGTCTCTCTGATATAGCTAAACAAACAACTACTACTACTACTCAGTCCCAAACAATTTGGGATTGGCGATGTGAATCCTCATTTCATCATCATTACCAAAATAACTCCGATATAGGTAAAATGCTAAAATTTTATGTAGTAGAAAATGTTGAACTTATGCATACATTGTCGAAATGTGTGCTAATGAGAATTTGGATATTGCCTCTATCCCAGATTTTAATTTTCAGGGTAGCCTGCTAACTCGTCAGTACTAGACCATGAGGAGTACTAGTGGATCTGGTGTAGTTACAATTAGCAATTTGCCCTGTAATGTTGTGGATGGGATTCTAGGGCGCTTGCCTTTGAAAGATGCAGTGAAGACCAGTATCTTGTCAAAAGACTGGAGGTACAAATGGGTCACACGTCAAGAACTTGATTTTAGTAATGAGTTTTTCGAGTCTTTCAAAGAAAAACAAGAAGCCAAGGCAATCATTTACCAAGTCCTACTACTCCATAGAGGACCGATACTGAAGTTTGAACTTGGAGGCGACTTGAAAAGTTGTCCGGATATTGATCACTGGATACTCTTCTTGTCAAAGAAAAATGTCCAGGAATTCACCCTTAACATGTGGTCAGACAACAAATATTATTTACCTTCTCACTTGTTTACGTTCCAGGAACTAAGGCATCTGGAAGTTAGTGAATGCTTGTTCCACCCTCCACCCGGTTTCCAAGGGTTTGAGAAGCTTATTAGTCTTGATTTTCAGCATGTCACCTTTGTTCCAGCAACATTCACGGATTTCATCTCCAAATGCCCATCGCTTGAAAGATTAATGTTGCGTTGGTGCACAGACTTTGACACCCTTGAAATTGATGCCCCTAATCTCAAATTCTTTGATTTTACCGGAGAATCAAAGTCCATTTGCTTCAAGAACGCTCCTATGCTTGAAAACGTTTCTGTGTATCTTTCTGTTTCAGGAGTCTTGCCTTATCCATCTCATGTTTGTTGTAATCTTACAAAGTTCTTCCATTACATGCCTTCCCTGAAGGAACTGGATCTATGTGATTCTACATTAGAGGTAATGTACGTTTGTGATACTATTAATTATAGTCTAATGAAGCTTTCTATCTCTAACGAATTTTTGACTTGCGTCTAGTACTTGATGATGGGAGGTGTAGCAGAGAGTCCCCCAACTGCTCTGAACAATATCAAATCTCTCAGAATGTCGGGCATGTCTTTCAGAAACGTTGAGGTGGTTTCAGGTGCTGTTTACTTGATTACAAGCTGCCCCAAATTACAAGAGCTTACAATTGATTGTACTGTAAGTACTCTGCTATTAATGTTGTTGTATATGGTGAACTTGCCTGACCATAATTCCTTGATAATCCATTAGGTTTCAGCTGGAAATGTTGTGGAAGCTGTTGTACAATTCTTACGAGCCCAATCAATGTCGTGTGGTGTTGCAAAGCTGCTTCAAAGAGTGGAAATGAGTTATTTTACTGGTGCTGACGTGGAAATGGAATTTGTTAGATTTATATTGGCATCAGCACCTGCACTCGAGGAAATCTTAATTTGGAATGTTGCGCATCACTTTGTTCAGAGTACACAAATGATAGATGATGAGATGAAACAGTTCCGCCGAGCATCACCCAATGTTAGAATCATACTTAAAGTTTTCACAGAAGAAGACTGTGTGTTTACTTGAACCCGAAGAAGTCATGGATTAAGTGCCATGACTTTGCTTATTGGTCTACTCCATTCTTTCCTAATACTCTCTCATCTGTGTGTTGCAGTTGCTAATAGTTGTATGGTTATGGAGACGTATCAAGATTTTTTATTCATGGCAAGTCTTTGGATAGTCTTTATATAGTTAATTTGTTATGTTCAATTAGTTAACTTCCCTGATGTTAGTTTCCGGAAGTGTTAGCAAAGTCGCTAGTATTATACCATGAGAATATACCAGGTGCTTGTCATAAAACACTAATTTACAACGTACCTGCTACTCCATGAAGAAATAATACTCAAGTTTAGTCTATGCAGCCTGGAAGAGTTGTCCCTCAAAGTAAGGTGTCAAGGAGCATATTCTACAATTCATAATGTATGGTGGTATGAAGCTGCTTCAAAAAGTATGTATGTTCGGGATTTGGGGATGGACTTCAGCCGCCAATGGAATTTTTCCAGATTTATATTGTCATCTGCACTTGAACAAATCTATATTTAGAATCACACATTTTTTGTTGAACGGGTTATGCTGATGATCCATAAAATGAAACAACTTCTGTTTGTAACGACCCGGCTAGTCGTTTTGTGTATTTAAGTTTTAAGATAGGGGTGGCAATTTGAGTCCAAACCCATTTAACCCGCCCAACCCGTCTAGAGATTAATGGGTTGGGCTACAAACATTTTAATTTATGGATCTATTTGGGCTAAGCCCAAGTTAACCCATTATTTTATATAGCCCATTCTGACCCATTAAGCAGCCCAAATACAACCCATGAAACTCACCCAAAACAAAGGGATCTCAATCCATTTGTTTTCAGCACCACCCACCCACCCCTACCCCTCCTACCACCCCCCACCACCACCCCCTAAAAAAAAACTTATTTTAACCTTTTTTTTTTTTTAGTATTTTTTAATTTTACCTGTTTTTTTTTAGTTTTTCTTGCTAACCACCCACCCCCCACCTTCCCCCCTGCAAAATATTTTTCAACTTACACATTTTATGGTAAAATTTTTTTTTATGCAAGATGAGCATGATTCTAAAATATGAGTCAAGTTGGGCGGGTTGGGCTATGGCCCATCGTTTAGCCCATCTTGACCCATCCCATCTTAGCCCAAGTACACTTTAGGCTGGGTTGGGCAATGGCCATTTATTGACCTAACCCATCTTGACCCGCCCAAATTCAGCACAACCCGCCCATTTGCCACCCCTAATTTAAGCTCTGTTGTGTTTGATATTTTATCACTTGCGGGGATGGTTGATTTGGTTTCGAAAATGTTTGAGAGTAATTTGGAACATTTCGTCCGATCAAAACCCAAGTCGAGGGGTAGTTCTCCACTACCCATAATCCCAAGAGTCCAAATATGTGATTGATTTTCAAAATCGAGTCTCAAATTTCCAATTTTTTTTAAAACACTGTCAAAAATCCTCAAAAATTCCTTTCAAATTTCATGATTTAGTTGTAAAATCCATAAGAAATCAAGTTATATTTTCAAAATTAAGTGAAAACCACTTACCCAATTGTTACGTGTGAAAATCTCCTTCAAAAATGGCCTCCCACCAAGTCTAAGTATCAAAATGTGATTAAATAGGACTAGGCCCCGAAATAGCCAGCTATAAACGAGAAGCAGATGTCGCATTTGCGAATTTGCGACCTTACAAATACGACCAATGGATCTCAAATGCGAATATTGCCAAGCCTAGTGGATGTCGCAATTGCGACCAAGAACTTTGCAACTGCGAAGACCCACTTCCTCGTCCACCATCGCCAATGTGGTGACTACTCCGCAAATGAGAAGTTGCAGCTGCCTCCCTCACTGTCGCAAATGGACCAACTTCCTCGCAATTACGAGTTCCCCCCAAACAGCCCCCCTCCTCCTGTAAATGCAATAAAACCACCACAAATGCGAGCAAAACATCCGCGAATGCGCGGTCTGCAGCACCAACAATACCTGAAGCTAATCAAAACACACTGAAATTATTTCGTAACTCACCTGAACCCTCAGACCAAACACCAACCATCCACACACGTACATAAATATTATACAAACTCGCTCGCATGCTCGGAACATCAAAATAACATAAAAAATACGAATAGAACGCCAAAACGCTTTGTGCAAGCTATGAAACTCAAGAACTTCAACATTTATAACCAAGCGTCTGATTCCTACCAACCAAGCTCGGAATGACACCAAACTGTAAACAAGTTCTAAATGAAAAAACAGAAATATTTCAAATCTCAGAACAACAATCCGAACCCGATAGCCACAAAGTCAACCCATGGTCAAACTTATGAAATTTCTAATCCTTCAAATTGCCAACTTTCGGCCGGCAAAAGAGCCAAATCATCATAGGAACATCCGAATTCAATTCCAGGCATATATCCAAATTCAAAATTACCATTTGAACCTATTGGAACCATCAAAATACCATTCCGGGATTGTTTTCACAAAAGTCAAACTTTAGTCAACTCTCATAACTTAAGCTTCCAAACTAGGAACTAAGTGTCCCAAATCAATCCAAAACCTCCTCGAAATAAAATTAATCATCCCCATAAATCACATAATGGCAAATACACATACGGAAAGCAACGACTAAGGGAACGGGGCTCAAATATACAAAATGACTGGCCGAGTCGTTACATTATCTGTGTGTTGCCAAAAGTTTAACTTCAATATCGACTGAAAGTGGTCGAAAAACTGGAAGAGATTCTTTAGGTTTAACTACTAACCAACCGAAATGGATCGATAAAGTCTAAATTTATTTAAATTCTTTTAGTTATCTATGTAAAATGCAAGTCTGACCATCTTTGGTCAAAGCTTGACTAGTTAACTAACTGATATTGGTCGGTGTATTAAAAGATTGGTAGAAAAATTATAGTTCCCAAATTTTGGCGCTAAAATAACAGACCAACTTCAGTTGGTGTACTTCTAAAAAATAAAAACATAATTTTGGCCTATTCCGACCAATAGTGGACGGTTATTCGGTCAGTTTTTGTCCCAACTGTTAAGTTTTGATATCTCTCTCAAATTGAAAACACAGAGAATGAGAATTCAAGCATCTCCATTAGAGAGGAAGAAAAAGCTTCTCGATATTTTCTATTATTATTTTCTCATACAATCAATGAATCCATCTGTACAGAAGAATAGGCCTATAGATACACAATTGGGATGGGTCTTATTACTGGGCCAAAGTAAAGCCCAAAGTAAAGAAATAGCAAAAATTAGCCACAATCAAATGGACCTAGTCCAACAGCCCCCTTCAAGCTGGAGGGTGACACAACCCCCAGCTTGCGAACATGAAGATGATGAGCAGGTCCAGGCAACACCTTGGTAAGAACATCAGCCACTTGAGAAGCACTAGAGGTCCCAAGTTTACCACGAACAAAATGACAATCCAACTCAATGTGTTTAGTGCGTTCATGGAAAACAGGGTTTCGTGCAATGTGAAGGGCTGCCTGATTATCACAAAACAAAGGAACAGGTAAGGAGGGTGAAACTCCAAAATCAGACAACAATGTGGTGAGCCAAGATAACTCTGCCACAGCCTTACTCATAGACCTATACTCAGCTTCAGCAGAGGAGAGGGAAACAACAGGTTACTTCTTTGATTTGCAGCCCACCAAGATGCCCCCAAGAAATATACAAAAACCAGTGACAGACCTGCGGCTGTCTGGACAAGAAGCCCAATCACTGTCACAATAAACTTGCAAGGACAAGTCAGGAGAATTATTAAGAAATATGCCAAAATCAGATGTGCCCTTGAGATATCGTAGCAAGTGTAAAGCAGCCTGCATGTGGGGAACACAAGGAGATTGCATAAATTGACTCAGGTGCTGAACAACAAAACTAAGATCAGGCCTAGTGTGTGTCAGAAAATTCAGCTTGCCCACTAGACTCCTGTACTCTTCAGGTTTGGGCAAGGGAGTTCCAACCTTATCTATTAGCTTGACATTCAACTCAAGAGGACAAGTGACAGGAGAGCATTCAGAGGAATGAAAAGCAACCAGCAAATCATGAATAAACTTCCTTTGATGAAGAAGAACCCCAGAATCAGTGTATAAGACCTCAATGCCAAGGAAGTAGTTAAGAAAGCCCAAGTCCTTAATCCTCAACTAATCATTGACAAAAGACTTCAAAGCAGTTAATTCAGCTAGATCACACCCAGTCAAGATGATATCATCTACATATACAGCCAAGATGACCAAAGAATCCCCAGAACCCTTGGTAAAAACAGAGTAATCATTTAAGGAATGAGAGAAACCCTTGGAGCATAAAGCTTGAGACAATTTTGCATACCATTGTCGGGAAGCCTGTCTTAAACCATAAAGAGATTTCTGGAGTTTACAAACCAAAGGACCAGAAGAAGAAGCAGAAGGAGGAACAATGAGAATAGGTGGACACTTCATGAAAACCTCTTCATCAAGGTCCCCATGTAAGAAAGCATTATTTACATCTAGTTGAAATAGGGGCCAGTGTTGCTTAACAGCTACAGCAATCAGAGTTTTCACAGAGGACATCTTGACCACAGGGGAAAAGGTTTCATTGAAATCACTACCTTCAACCTAAGTGTCCCCCCTAACTACTAATCTAGCTTTATACCTTTCAATACTTCCTTCAGCCCTATATTTAACCTTGTATACCCATTTGCATCGAATAGGTTTCTTGCCAGGAGGCAACTCAACAATGTCCCAAGTTCTGTTGGCATCCAAGGCCTCAAACTCACATCTCATAGCTTCCTGCCATTCAGGGACAACAGCAGCCTGAGAGTAAGAGTAAGGCTCAGGGACATAAGGCTGACTAAGAGTGTGAACATTGGAGATAGACTTAGAAGGAGGAGGAGAAGAATTAGAGGTACAAACATAACTGGTGAGATAGCTAGGTGGATTGTGTGGTCTGGAAGATCTTCTTAAAACGGGAGGAGGGATAGGAGGGAGAGAATCAGGGGAAGGAGAAGATATAGAAGTGGGAACAGAGGGGGAGTGAGGATCAGTAGGAGAAATAGGTGAAGGGTGAGGAGGAGAAGAAGTGGGAGGAAATGAACCCTCATCAAAACAAGCAGAAAAGGGAAATGGGGAGACTTGAGGTACAACATGAGAGGATTGACAAAAAGGAAAAATGTGCTCATAGAAAATGACATCTCTTGAAACAAAACAGGAGTTATTCTGAAGATTAAGAAGTTTGTATCCCTTTTTGGCAAAAGGATAGCCAATGAAAACACAAGGAATGGATCTGGGAAGAAATTTGTCCTTGTGAGGGGTGGTGACAGTTGAGTAACAAAGGAACCCAAAAGCTCTAAGGTGGTGGTAAGTAGGAGTGGAAGAATGAAGCAATTCAAAGGGACTTTTGTGATGAAGAAGAGGTGAAGGAAATCTGTTAATCAAATAGGTGGCAGTTAAGACACAATCACCCCAAAACTTAAGGGGTAAATGAGATTGAAACAAAAGTGCCCTAGCAGTTTCTAGTAAATGTCTGTGTTTCCTTTCCACAACACCATTCTGTTGAGGAGTATGAGGGCA